CTCCGACTTACTTTGCAAATCCGACTACCACGAAAAAGCCTTTTCATTCTTCGGGTTAATATATAGCCTATGACACTCAGAAAGAACGTGGCTTTCTATTGGTAAAAGAATTTTGAAAATCGGTTCAGTAGATCCAGAGATTACCCCCTACAGCGTCACAAACTCACAAACTCACAAGATCACAAACTTTACCTCTTTATAATATTAGTATAGATAAAAAATGTATTCTCACTTCAAAGTTTTGAAAGTTGCTAATAGACATAAATGTGATTAGGTAAAAAAATCCCAATCGAATTTCGGTCACGGAGGTAGCCTCACTAAGAATAGTAACTAATCTTTTAGAGTCTCTTACACTCCGAGTCTGATAGGATGAAAATTCGACACGATCGTGAGAGCTGACATTGGATTGTTGACTTTACGTGCACTCCACTGCTATTGATTTATAAATAATTCAAAATATTTTTTATTTATATTTTTATTCGGCTTGGCCAATGAATATTTTGCGGCATAAACTCATGCAGCCATAGAAAAGATAAATAATATTAAAATTTATTTTCAAGATTAAATAAAACTTATAGGGTCATCAGTTTTGATCTTTGTTTACTAGACTGTTATTCATAATATATTTTAAGTCTACAACAACAAACCAACAAAAACATCGACATGGTTATTGAAAAATTTAATCACTACGGCCTAATGAAAAATCAATATTTATCCAGCTAAATATCTATATTTAAACTAAAGATTAAATGAGCAGTTTAGCTGCAATAAATGACAAATAAATAAAAATTTTATAAATTCAATCATAATCCTGTAAAATTTTACTAGAGTTGTGAGTTGACGACACGTTTGGCTCAGTTTGATGTGACCCTACTTGCTGTGCCAGCGGTCGCGAGTTCGAGTCCCGCTGGGGGCATTCATTTGTGTGATGAGCATGAAAGTTTGTACTCCAGTCATGGGTGTTTGTATTTATAATATGTATGTATTTAAAAGTTATATATGTGTAGTGTATCAACTATCTGGTATCCATAACACAAGCCTCGTAGCTTACCATAGAATTAGATGGCGCTGTGTTAATGTCCCAATATATTTATTATTTATAGAGTACCAAGTATTTACTCAGGTTACGTAGGTACATCGATCTTGTAATGTCATCATGTTCCAAAAACATAAGTGTTCAACGCCAAAATTTTGAACCAATAATATAATTTTAAAACGAAAGAATCAAGTCTAATATGCTTGTTATTTCTGACTCATTTTCTGTTTTACAATTAAAATTTCGCTGAAAAATATGTGAAGTGTCGCCCATTGCAAATATTATTTGCATACGTAATATTATTTGCTTTTTGAGTTGAATTTTCGTGGAAAATGTGGTTTGATTACTTTGAGGTTTATTTTCTGTAAAATATTAACCGATTCCAAAATAGGAGGAGGTACTCAATTCAAGTAATGTTTTTATGTAGTTATTTACATCACCCTTTAATAATAAAAAAAATAAATAAAATAAAATCAATATAATATTTTTATTAAGACGAAATCTTTCACAATTATTGTGGACTAATTCTTATGAAACTCAAGAAAAATTAAATTCATAAATAATAACTGTTGTTATTTTCTTTTTTGTTCTTTTATTATCCATGGTTGGTGTAAACAATGTTTATATCAAAATAGGCTATCTGAATCGTAGCCTATGTGGATCTGCCACCAAAGCCCACCATTTAGGGCGTAACTTGCCAAATGCCATGTTTAGTTCAAGCGATATTCGGATATAAGGATAAAGAGAGAATGCCTTATAATAGAGTTATTTTACGTCTCTCTGTCTCGGAGTTGACGAATCAGTCAGAACATGTTTTTTTCATATATATATAGATAATAAATTTACCAATTCCTTTAATATTTAACGTTTTTCAATTTATTTTAGTTAACCTAATTAACGCGAAATATATGTACCTAAATGTACAAAGTATTTAATTTTTAAATATATTTTTACACATGTGTAATTTAACATTACACAACATATTTTGTATAATCTAGATAAAAATACTAGTTATAAGTTAAAAAAACTGTAATGCTTCCGTAATACTTTAAGGTGCAGATTTATAGCTTGTTTAACCTATCGCCTGACCCTTTTGGCTCGCCGTAGAATACTTTCCTTTAAATCTTATCAATTTAAGATTTATTGTTTAAAATTAGCATACTTTTTTTAGATGTATATCTATGAATATATTTAGACTAAAAAAGTTTAATATATATTATACTAGCAGAACCCGCGGCTTCGCTCTTTTTTGTGCCAACGTATTTATGTAAGTACCTCTGTGTATTTAAAAGTCTACTTAAATTAAATCTTAGTTTCTGCGGAATGGATGAGGTTATATTAACAATATCACTAAAAGCACTAAAAAGTTCGTTATAACACTAAGAAATTATAGATTTTTTTTATGTAAATGACACATTTATTAACATACATAAAATCAAACAATATTTATTTAGTCTGTTTATTTACCTATTGACCCTAACTCCATAGATAAGACGATATTCCACAATCGCTGTCGCTAATACAAACCTAAAAGTACAATTGTATATGAGGATATGTTCTGACCAAGTAACTTACTTTAACGCTCAGATACTGAATCTATAATATTTCATTTTCCATTAGCAATAGTAGCGAATATAATCCCTCAACGATCACGGACACGCCGGCGTTACAGTTAACAATAGATTTCTTAGAAATTTACTTAATTTCTTAGAAATGTACCTGGAGGTGTTAATGTCTATTTGTGAACTTTCTGAAAAGACAATGACATAATAGAGATTTATTTAACAAGTATATATATATATATATATATATATATATATATAGTTATGGCATATTTCAATAGTAATATTCAGCCGCTGTGACCGAATTACGACGAAGAGTTTTCCTTCGACAAAAATGGCTTCATTAGGAAATGTCAGAAAGAACATAAAAAGTTGATAGTTTGTCGTAATGTGCGCAAAGTATGTACTGAATAAATTGGATCAAGGCATAATTTTATTTGCATGCCGATATTATTTAATGGATATATATTAAATATTCTTTTGGAAAATCTTATTGAAATAGACATTATTATCGATACAGAGGCCGAATCTAGAATTTTTGCCGTTTTTAGAATTTTTGTCTGTTTGTCTGTTATTGCATCACGGAAAAACCACTGGAGGGATTGTGATGAAATTTGGTATGGTGATAGTTGGTTATCCGGGTCAACATATAGGATACTTTTTACCGCGGGAAAATATCTCATTTCTGAGAAAAAATACAAAAACTGCAATGTAAGAGTATATTAATATGTAAAACCTAACAATTTCGTTTTGTCATCTGAACGCGGGCGGAGCCGCGGGCAATGCTCGTATTAAATAATAATACAATTATGATAGCATATGCGTTACTTCGAGTCATAGTCTGTTTGTGTACAAATTTCATCCAAATACGTCCAGCCATTTGAGCGTTAGTGGATAACAAACATACACTTACGTACAAAGACTTGTATTGTAGTTCGACAGTCAATATAAATTATATTTGTATATTTTTTATTTAGGTTCTATGCATGCTTATTAAGATAGAACTCTAACGAAAAGGTAAATTGTTTTAAAGAATCCACAAATATTAAAATTTCTCATAGGTATGTCTTTACACGTGCGAAGTTTATTATCCTATTATATGAATAAACATGTGAAATAAAAATGTGGTTCTTACTTCTTAAGATGTATGGATGTAAAAATTTTATGACTCGATCACGAGTTTGAGTGTTTAACGAAAGTGAATAAAACCAGTTATCTTATAATACTATACTATTAGGTACTTTAGTTCTTAGAGAAAGGCAAATTATATTCCTTTAAGATAATAGTTAAATTTAACTTAATAGATGGGCGCTGCTTTGATAAAATAACATTAAAAGGACATTTTTCACGAAGGTGAAGCCGCGTGCTAAACTATTATATAACGACAGAATTAAAATAGAGTCCCATGTCACGACCATGTTCGCCAATTACTGTCTTATTACAATACTAGCGACACACCCTCTCTCGCTCCGCTCGGGTTCGTCCCTACTTACGTTTTAAGGTTTAGTGTAAATTTTTCAGAGATGAGATATTTTCCCGCAGTAAAAAGTATCCTATATGTTAACCCGGTTAACCAGCTATTATCATACCAATTTACATGAAAATCCTTTCAGTTGTTTTTCCGTGATGCGGTAATAGACAGACTGAAAGAAAGACAGGCAAAAATTCTAAAAACTATAGATTCAGCCTCTAATGATATAAATATTTCAATAAGACTTTCCAAAAAATATTTAACGTACAGATTTGCCTTAGTTACAATTTTATTATATGTATAGATATTCACACTTGAATATAATTGGACTACGCGACCACCGCCCGACCGCGATCATAATATATATATATATGTAGTAGGACGCTGCGACTATTATTTCGGTCGTGTCGCCTAGTGCGTTTGGGCCTTTAATAGCAAAACTATTTACCTAATAAGTCAGAATTTCCAGACTGACATCATCAACTGCACTTAAGATTAATAACTAAAAATAGTTTTAATATATTATTAATAATTTATAGAAATAAAAGTTTTATAAATAGAGCGTCCATTTTCTTTGACTCCGATTATAAACTTGTACATATTTACTATACGGGATATATCCCGTATAAAGAATGCGATAACTTATCTCGCAATAAACAAAACTTTTCTAAGTAAATGAACTTGTTATTGTCAAAAAACTTACCGAAACTAAATTAGAGTGCCATCTGCACTTAGATGACATGCGCAGAAATCTTATCAGTATGGCTTGACCCGAGCATTATCATTTACTACTGAGTGAAGCACCGATGAAGCAACTCGTACTAATATGAATCTCAAAATATTTCATCTATACATAATAAAAAGTTGTAAAACATCTTAAAAGTGAATTTGTGATTGAAAACTATAAGAAGAGAATAATTATATAATAAAAATGAAATTATTATTATTTTTTAAATTAGTGCTGTGCTTTGGATCGTGGAATTTCGTCAAGGGTGAGTCTAAGTTTTAACAGTTGAATAAACAAAATATAGAGGCCAATGTAGAGTCAATAACGTATCAAATAATATTTAGGTATATGTGTCCTTATTTATATTTATTATGTGTCCTTATTAATCATTAGTGAATATAGTCTTTGTACATAAAAACCTAGAATAATTATAAATTAAAATACTTTTTATGATAACACCTAGAACTTAAAAAAGACTCTTGAGTTTTCTTAACTTTAAACATTATAAATCTTACAATTTTATAATTGCATTATTATCTATAAATGATTGATAATTTTTTATTCAACCATCTTTATAAATACGTTATATAATAGTAGAACATTATATGACGTAAATACGTCTTCATAAATATGAAGATATTAAATCCAAGAAAATATATTAATATTATTATCTTATTTTATTACATATATAGATAATATAACTTAATAATATTATTATATTTTCTCGAATTTACTAATACATTTTAACTTTACTTTCTTACGAACTTACTTTGTCCTTCCGTACGGCGGTAATTTACATCTTACGAGTACACAGCTCTTATTAATCTGGTTAGTATAATCATATAAAGAAACTATAAATATCCAATATATATGTAACACTATATTATATAAACGCTTATATGCGTTTCCACTTGTTTTTGGCTTATTAATAATTAATGAATAAGCAATCAAAGATCGTTTCACATTTATAAAGTAGTACAAGTACAGCCACATCTTCCATATTAAATAATTTGCAACTACGGCTTTTGCAAAGCGTAATAAAATAATTTCGCACTTCCTATGCAAAAATATTATAAAAACAATCTAAAAATCTATTCTGTGCCAAAGGGAAATCTTAATATTTACAAATAGCTTCAAAATAAAAAAAATAACTGATATATAATATATACTATCCATTATACTTATTTTTAATTTATACATCCGGTTCAAGTAGCACACGTATTATTTTTATTGAGTTCTGTCATTAATATCTATTTGGTTCATTAAAAATTTTTGTTCAAAGTAAATATCTATAAAGGAACAAATATGTAAATATCTGTTCGGAAAAAAATATCTGTTACGGAAACGATAGTCAGTCAGTCATTCAGATATTACTGCTTCGTATGCTTTTATTCCTGCAAATTTTATAAGCCTGCATTCGAGCCCCAAAACAAAACACAAAAGTAATTAGGTGGTTACAATATAAAAATAAACAGCTTTCTTAACAAAAAAATCTCAGTATATAGGAGTGGAAAAGTTGGCGGCAGGTAAACCTTCGTACCTCTGAAGTCGATCTCAGTTTTGTGGAACGGTGCATTTGTATTAACACACACACAGTTCTATATTACGACATCTATCATCTATGACCTATCCTAATCTCAGGGAGATTAGATGTCGTGAATGAAATACGGTCAGGATAACATTACTAAATTATGAATATATTTTTATTTGTCTTATTTGTTTTTATCTTAATCACTAAGTATGTATTCAGCCCTTTTTGTTAACGTCCTACTGCTAGGCAAAGGCCACCCTTCAGTGCGAGAGGGATCAGGTTATCCGTAATAACCTCTATTGTTCAAGGGCATTTTGAAGGACTTCACATGTTTTTCGAAAACTTGCTAGGTTCTCTCAGGCGCAGGTTTCGTCACGATGGCTTTCTTCACCGTTTGAAGTGAAGTGAAGTTGAAGACAAGTGGCAATCATGTTGGAAATGATTCGCACATGAAAATATCAGAGGTGCGAGGCCCGGGATTTGAACCTGCTTCACTAGTTTTCCCAAGCGAGTGCATTACCACATAATATACTTATTCCATCCTTTTAACTAAATTCTAAAGTTATATAAAAGATTTTGAAGATGCCATAGTTAGAATAAAGATTTAGAAATAAACAGATAATAACAAAGATATTTCCAAGTGTAATGTAGATACTAGTCTTATTATCTAAGTATAAACTTCCTAGGCCCCCCATATTCTAGACATGAGAAAGAATCCGTACTAACAGCACCATGTATTAAATTTCGTGGACAAGATTAAAGATTAGGCACATCGTTCTTAACGGCCACGTATCGAGTTACGCTGACAAATTGTAAGAAAAGATCATTATATATAGTAAGTGTTTTACAAATTATATTAGCGACTCACCCTCTTGATATTAGCTTGATTCCCCATACTAACTTTCAACTATTTTCACCCCCTTATGGGATGATTTCCGGGATAAAAAGTATCCTATGACCTTCCCAGGGTCTCAAATTATCTTTTTACCAAATTTCATCTAAATCGGTTCAGTAGATCCAGAGATTACCCCGTAGCATCACAAACTCACAAACACACAAACTCACAAACTTTACTTCTTTATAATATTAGTATAGGCTAGCGAATCACCCTCGCTTCGCTCGAGTTTGTCGCTAGCTTGATTTGCCATACAAAATTTCAACCTAATTTTCACGGCTTTAAGGGATGATTTCCGGGATAAAAGTATCCTATGTCCTTTCCAGGATCTCAAACTATCTTCTTACCAAATTCCAACTAAATCTGTTTTGTAGATCCAGATATAATCCCCTACAACGTCACAAACTCACAAACTTTATCTCTTTAAAATATTAGTATAGACTAGTGACTTACCTTTTCTTCACTGGCGTGTGTTCCTAAGCTTCAACGGTTCAGAAATGCATAAAAGGCAATTCGAATGCTTTACAGCAATCATGGTCACGGGAGAGACTGCGAAACGTCGGGAACCAAAAATCCAAATAAATCCGCGAAAGAATCCGAAAAGATAGTTTTATTTAAATTGACTAATATTTGCGTAAATCTAAGAAAGTATTATTAATACGTATACACTAGCGACGTTACTTTAAATACAAGTTAGCAAAGTTGAAGACTTACTAAAGGGAGATTAACTATTTGCATATCATTTAAAAGTTGATTCTAAGATAGAACATTAAAAATTACAAAAATTACCATACTACTGAGTTGTTATTGTGCCCAAATGGCACGTCTATAAGCCACAGTATAAAGAACATTGAACATATTATTGAGTACATTATACGTTTCGTTGCTTCATGTCAGTGTGAAGGAAAAAGGGCTAAGCCACATGACTTAAAATTTTTAAATAGGCTCTATCACTGAAGCAGTGGCACTATCATGAATAAATCTGAGTTAACATCTAGATTTAAGATTACACACGCGTCTAATACTTTTAGTTTGTTGAATCTATTGTTCAAAGGATTTGCTATGCTAGATGCATAGCGGGAAATACTCAATGCTGTCATCTTGAGACCAAATCGGTGTTCCATGTATGTGACATTCATATAATATTTTCAGTCACTTCCTAGCGCAGTAAGTCTCGTATTATGTCAGTTCTATCATATTTTTGTGTTTATAGATAACAACTTATGTAGGACGGGGAGCTCACGTATTTTTGGACATACTGAATGAAATGAAAATAACACATTTCATATCAGATCTGTTGGACAAGAAAAGTCGCATTAATATCCTTCCAGTCGTGAGAATGATGAATTATTTAAAAATAATAAAAAAAATAGATCTTAAGCATTAATTGTATCCCATAAGTTTCATGTTTTTTTTTAATAATATATAATCAAAATGACCAAGTCTGAATTGTTTTAAAATATACCTCGATGTAGATACTTAAGTTAATGTGCAAAATGAAACGCAATTCTTATGTTACCACTCAATTTATTTACACTAAAGAGTCCTTTTAAGCTATAAAATATGTGTTAGTATTAGAATAATAGTAAACATATGTGTATAAACGCACATATTGCAAATGGTCGTTGCCTAAAGAAACATGACCACGGTTTTTCTTTAATACAAAATACTTTTCTTCTGGTAAGCAAATGGATCTTCGAAGAAGAGATTTTTTCTAATGTTTCATTTTTTTTCTAATTTGGGAATAAGACTGTCGTAGATAGACAGGATAAGAATTGCCTCTCGTGAATAATTATAATAATAAATAAATAAATGTTGGGACATTAACACACAGCGCCATCTAGTTCCATGGCTACGAGGCCTGTGTTATGGATACCAGATAGTTGATACATTACACTTATATAACTTTAAATACATACATATTATAAATATAAACACCCATGACTGGAGTACAAACATTCGTGTTCATCACACAAATGAATGCCCCCAGTGGGACTCGAACCCGCGACCACTGGCACACCAAGTAGGGTCACTACCAATTGAGCCAAACGTGTCATCTATATTCTTATTTTATTGTCTAATGATCAATTTATCTTTGGTTTTCCGTACTAGAGATATGAGTATAACATTATTTGCATGGCATGTACTTGTACTATGTCAAATGTCGTTAGCGAGGAAAATCCCGGATTAATAGGTTATTCAGATCCACTTAATCAACTACACATCTATAAACATCAGCATTTCATTATTCTGATCTGCTTTTAATGTCTTTAGATTAGATGAAAACGAACTATTCTTTTAATTTATTTGCACACCAGATAAATAGTGAATTTACAAATAAACTGCTCTAAAAAAAGAAAAAAAAGATCCCGACGGATTGATAACCTCCTCCTTTTTGGAAGTCGGTTAAAAAGGGCTCCCTGCCACTATTCATAATCAAGAATTATGTTTAGTGAATACTAATCGTATACTAATTCTCAGAAAATAAATATAATTATATATATATAATAAAAAAAAACATGTTCGTATTAAGTTGCTGCTGAAAGATGGGTTTATCTACACGATTATTATAAATGTGAAAGTTTGTGAGTATGAATGTTTGTTACTCTTTCACGCCAGAACGGCTGAACGGATCTGGATGAAATTTGGCACATAGATAGATTGTAGTCTGGAATAACACATAGGCTACTTTTTATCCCGGATAAATATACGATTCCCGTGGGATAGGTTTGTGTTTGTTTTCCGGGTTTCCACTAGTCATCAATAAAGAATTAAGTAAAACACTTGCAACGCATTTATAATATTAGTAAGTAGTTTATGCTATTAGAATAGATTATATATAGTTTCATTATCTTATTAATTTTTAATGAATAAGCTATACCCGCTTTTTCTATAATAAATTCCAATTGCTTTTAAAATGATTTTGAAATAGGTGATTTGTTTTGGTTAAAATGTAATTATGTTCCGGCCTTATTTACTGAGTTATTTAAAGATATGACTGAATAGGAAATAATATTAAATAGAATGTTTATCCTGATTATCAGACTGTACTGAAGTGGTAAATAAAAGGTCGCAAGATTATCTTTTGTGTACGATATATGTAATTGATAAATCATTCATTGCAACAGCGAGCGAAAATTTGTTTGTTTTAATATATAAACTGTAAAATTTATGCAGCCTAACTAAAAAAAAAATCTTTAGATTTTTCCTTAATTTGTGATCTCTTATGGTAAAGGAAAACAACGTGAGGAAACCTACATACATGTCTGAGATAACCTAGCAAGTTTTCGAAAGATATGTAAAGTCCGTGAATAAAATAACTTAATTAATAGGCAAAATGCTCCTAAACCACTACTTGACAAAACTTTGGCAAGTTTTTAGACAAGTAATAATTATTATATTTTCTGTTACTTCCTTTAGCTAGAACAGAAATTCCTACTTTTAATACCATACACAAGCAAAAATAAGGCACCTAAGTAATATTTAATTTCGCCTTAAACATGCTCTACATGCAAACTAGAAACTTTACCTAAATTTCTGAAAATACACCATAACTGTATCTATAGACTTTATTTAATACTAGCGGCACACACGAAAACATACCTATCCCACGGTAACCGTACATTTTTCCCGAAAAAGTAGCAGTGTTGTAGTATGTGATATTCCAGACTATAATTTCTTCCCAATACAAACTTTCATCCCCATTTTCTCCCCCTTCTTCAACTTCTCCAACTATCTTCTTACCAAATTTCATCTAAATCGGTTCTGTAGATCCAGAGATTACCCCTACAACGTCACAATAATCGTCACAAACTCACAAATTCACGAAATTTACCTCTTTATAATATAGCTTTAGTATAGCTTTACTGATTTTACCTCAAACCCTCGGACGACTTAGATACAAGTCCTCATTTAATTTAGGTACATCAAGCTCATTTGGTACTCATCATAGTTTATTGGATAATAAGCCCTCACCTACGGTAACAAGAGGATACTTGAGGCGGCGCGCGGATTATCTAAAATGCTTTATAACTCCTACTCATTTACAAATACGTGAACGTATACTTTTATTTTTATCTTCAACATATAAACAAACAAACTGTACAAAATAACTTAAAACTATATTGGCCGCCTGCCTGACGTCAACTCTCCTTGGGAATGCTATTGTCCTCTTTGTCTGAATGGTATCGCGGAAGTCTTCTATTTTCACGATGGACTAAATTCAATTATTTTCCGTGCGCTGAACGCATTCGAAGAATTTGAATAAACAGTCAAAATACACTCGAGCCTCGATCAATTGTGAGCTACGAGTATATACGAACTATACTTATAAGTATTGAATCATCGGCAATTCAACTGGCTACCGAGATTATATTTTGAAGGCTTTATATTGATTTTCGTAAACTGTAGACGGCTTATACCTAAAAAACAATGTTTATTTTACAACAAAAATGATATCAAGAGGGTATTTCTCCGAGATTGCGCCCTTCATCTGATTAATCTGGCCAAAAATTATTTTCATTTTTGGCTCTATTCAACATACTCTTATGATTAAAGACATGCCAAATATTATTTGGTCAGATTAATCGGATGAAGAACGCAATCTCGGAGAAATACCCAAGACCCAAGTAGCTATTGCAGCATTGACATTCGAGGAACAATATCTGTTATTAAAGATCTATGTACGTCTAATATAATATTAGTTTTCAGACGATCTTACTAATACAATTGGGCGATTCCATCATAACCTTTGAGAGAGAATTAGGTACTTATGATTTTACTAATTTTAATGTTCCTGCATTAAAATGAGTGAAATCATAAAAACCTAACTTGCTTCGCTTAGAAAATTACGGCAAACTCCATATTCAAGAGCGTTCATTATGTTTATCAATCTTCCTTACAAGGGCATTTATGTTCGATGTACAATAATCTATTAATATTCCAAATTAAAAAGCTACATGAGCGTTTGTTTTCAAAATCTGTGACTAGGATTAGGATTCGCAGGACTAGGATTCGTATTTCTTAGAGAGAAAAATCCATATTTGTTATATATACTTATTTCTATTATTTTACTTTCAGGGCTTACATCAGAAGAGGCCGCAGAGGTCACAGAAACATGTTGCAAGCATGGAGAAACATTAGCACTAACATCTTCTAGTGCTGGCTGCGCAGGAGTTACACTTCCAGATGAAATTGAACCAGAGCAAAATGAAACTTGCATTATAGCTTTGCAAAGTTGTTGTAAAGAGCAATTGAAGTCAGTACTTCTTTTTGTTATTTGATCCTAGTAAAGTATAGACATTTACATGTTTCGTAATTTACTTACATACTTAAATTTTATAGTGGGATGATTTAATATATTATGTATTTAACAAATATGGGTATTGCAGATTAAAAGATGAATGCTCAGCTGGTATGAAGTTGGCAATCTCGAAACAATGTCTGGCTCCAAAAAGTGAAATTGGGAAGGTAAATTCATTATAATGTTCAACATAATAATTGTAATAACTAAAATGAAATAAATGAATATGAAAAACTACTTTTATCAGATATTTTCAAACATAGATCTAAGTCTTGAAAAATATAAAATAGATTATTTTTTTAGTCTTGCTGTGATGAATGTTCATTTGGGCGGTTAGCTGGAGGATCCCAAGGCAAATCTGGCTGTGGAGAACTACCTGAAGACTTCTTCAGTCCCACAAGTGCATTAAGAAAAAAGGCATACTACCAATGCTGCATGGTAAATCATTATAGTCTTTATCATACGCTAATTGCAACGTGCTAATTTTATTAAAAAAAAAACTATAAAATGTTTTCTTTTATATCATATCATTTAGTGAAATATCAAAACTTAATTTTTAGGTGTTTAAAATTTTATGTTATTTAAAATACAATAAGTAAATTTTATTCATTTAATTCGTAATAACAAAATAGAATAATATGAAAAAAAAACATTTATCGCACTAACAAATGCTTATCGGACATTATTAAAAACTATATTTTTTTTAAATAAAAACTCCCTTTTAGGAGGCTGCGGAGGAGATGGAAACGACAACAGAGAAAAAAGAGACGACGACTGAAAAGCCAAAAGAGAAATCGACAGAAAAGCCAAAAGAAAAATGTAAGGCTAACTCTTGTGAGCATACATGTTCGGATGACACTGGTAAAGTGCAATGTCAGTGCCGTGAAGGGTATAGGCTTCAGCCTGATAAAAAGTCCTGTAAAGGTATCTTCAGATTTACAATTAGTTGTGTTTGTCCAAAAATAATCTTTGTGTAAACATATGGTAAGTAAGATACTAACAATGGGCGATGGAACATAATTTACACAAATCATTCTGAATCATGACAAAAATGATCATCACTACATGTTTTAGCTATATTGGTTTGATAGTCTCTAAATCAATCGTGTTTCATGTTAATTCTTGATTTTTACAGATATAAATGAATGCGCAGAGGCTATTGACGATCTTTGTACTGCTGCAGATACAGTATGCCATAATACAGAAGGCTCATTTAAATGTGTCCCGTTAAAGAAGAGAGACGTTGGCTTAAGTTGCCCTCCTGGATTTAAACGAAATGTTATTAATCAAGTGTGTGATGGTGAGACAATAAGAAAATCTGGTAAAATTAACAGCTAAAATAATATAAAATAGAAAGAAGTAAAATTTATGGAACTTTTTTCAGATATCAATGAATGTCGCCTACCAAAACCTCCTTGTCCTAAGTATCTATGTGAGAATACGATAGGTGGGTACAAGTGTGGTGGAAAACCTGGAAAACCATTTACTGAAGATGGACCAGAAATGACTTCTGAATCAGCTGTAACTACACCGAAACCGAAAAATGATATCTGTCCACCAGGCTTCCGAGCTGGGCCAGATGATGAATGCCTGGGTAAGTAAATAAAAAATGAAAGAAAGCAATTAATATAATACAAATTACAAATAATCATTATTGCTACATTTTATCTAGATATCGACGAATGTGATGAAAGGGTAGATGATTGCCAGCGTCTTTCCCAATACTGCATAAATTCCCACGGCAGTTATTTCTGCCAGGATCATGTGTCTAAACGTTGTGCACCTGGATTCAAGGTCAATACAAAAACCGGCGTCTGTGAAGGTAACTTTATAATCTATACTATAATAAAAGAGTAGAAGTCGAATGTCTGTACATATCAAAAAAAAATGCTAAAAACCGAGTCAGGCGATGTAAGAAGACAAATAGAACAAATCCAGTTTTTTTCAATTTTTTAGTTTCTCTGTCTGTTTGTCTGTTTGTACGGGCTAATCTCTGAATCTATAGGACCGATTTGAATGAAATTTTGCATGGTAGTACCTTATATCGCTGGGCAACATTTTAAATACTTTTTATCCTGGAATATTAAATAGTTCCCGTGGGATAGTTAAAAAACTATAATAACTTATACAGCTTAGTACACAACAACTTGTGCACGTAATTTAGTAAAATTTAACATTCTAATACCTTATATTGCCGGTCAAACAACAGGTTACTTTTCATCCCGGAGAAATAAACAGTTCCCGTGGGAACTAATAGATCTCTATTAGTGTTTTTCTAGAGGCGAACCCGAGCGAAGCGAGGGTGAGCCGCTAGTTATTATAATATATTTTAATACCTTTACGCCAACGCGAGGCGTTATCTTTTCTGAGTAGGACCAAGCTGATTTTCTACAATTAATTATATATCATTTTTTTTTGTAATTACTGAATAAGAATGACATATTTTAGTCTAAGTTACAGGAGACACAGTAATCGATACAAAATACTCATTAATTAATTTATAAATTAGTACAAAGAAGGTATTACATATAATATAATTAATTAAAATTATATATAAAAATTACCAGATATCGATGAATGTGAAGAAAGTACAGAAGTTTGCAAACGAAGCGAGGTGTGCATAAATCTTCCCGGAGCTTATAATTGCAAATCTAAGATCAGCACTTTACCCAAGTAAGGCATAACATGTAACAAACTTTACAAGGTTTAACAAATTTGAGTAGGTTTTTATGTTAATATTAATTAATATCATATTAATGTTTTGGAAGGTTGGCAACTAAAACGTGCCAAGAAGGAACCAGAGTTCGTCCAGGAGGAACAATCTGTGAAGGTAATGATATTTTGTTAATACTCTTGTAATCATTTTATGATGCAAAGCTACTTTTCTAGTTGCTAAACTGTCTCTTTAGAAGTCTTTGTAAATAAGCCATTATCTTAGTTCAATCTACTGTGAAAATAATACTATATAGACTAAACTAGAAGATACTTTGGTGACATTATATACCGATTTGAATTTTTCAATTATTTTTTTGTTTGCTTTTGTTTTCTTTCATAGACATAGACGAATGTCGCGAAGGAAGTCATCTTTGCGACCAGTTCCAAAATTGTATCAATACTTTCGGAGGTCACGAGTGTCGTTGTAAGAACGGATTTGAGTTAGACTCAACGACTGGTTCCTGCGTAGGTGAGTAATTTCTAGCAGATAAAAGATTCTAACTAATACATGAAATCATTATTCTCAGAAGCTTGATTATGATACTGCTAGATAGTGTAGGTTTGTAAGAACTTAACACTTACCGAATGCCGGTATAAGAAACCCGTTCGTACTTTACCATATTTATTTAAGGATATTATAATATGTTTTGACTTTACTCAAAGAATCATAATTCATACTAAATACTACAAGCAGAAATGGCAGAAATGGCAGAAAATAAGGTTTTCATTTGACTTTAAATAATAGTGGTAACTACATTTGTTATATTCTCATACTAATAACAATTCATAATATTGCAGACATGTTATTCGAGTACCATTATATTCTGAATGTTTTGGAAACATTAAGCTAGGGTTGAATCTTTGACAGATACAAATTTCAATCAACCTATATAGGTCATCAGACTATATAGTTTTAAGAGTAATTTAACGTAGCATAGTCTTTTTATTAAATCAGCGGTAAAAGGAGGATATTTACTTTATGGTCTGTATAATATTATCTCTATATTTACAAAGTTAAAAATAAATATAATAGTTACCAATATTTCTGTTAATTAAGCAGTTATCTAAAATATCTTTCGTTAGCTCCAAAAACCGTCACAAGATCTGGAAATCTAATCACAACCAATTGTTTCGTATCAATGAACTTAAAACTATGATATTTTAATAAATTTAAAATTATTTTTATTATCGTTTGCAGATATTGACGAATGCGCGTTGAAGCTTGATAATTGTGTGGGCGGTCTTAAGTGCCTAAACGTCTTAGGTTCATTTACCTGCACTCGTTACAAATCGATTAGCACTACTGTTGCACCTCCGCCTGTCTATGAATACGAATACTATGATTTCGAGTAAGACATTTATAAAACAAGTTTATTATATTGAATGTGTCTATGTTCTAGCATTCATATGCAACTATTTACCTGAAAAACCTATTATAAAACTTAAAATAAAACTTCAAATTTTATTAATGTCACGAAATCTATCGTGATGCTATATGTGTATAATAAATAAGTATATATTTTTTATAGAGAAGAAACTGAAACAGAACGAGAAACAGTTCCAACCTTACCACCAACCACTACATCTACAACAACATCAACAACCACCACAACAACACCACGACCTACTACGACTAGCACAACGACTACTACCAGTACTACTACACCACGACCGACGACCACCAGCTCAACTACCACCACCACCACTACCACCACACCAAAACCATATCTCCCTAGAAGATATCCCAATTATCCTAGACCAGCTTACCGTCCTAGAACAACAACATCTACCACATCTACCACAGAACCACCAAGAAGACGATTCGACTATCCCAACTATCCTAGAAGACCAGAAAACCCATTTACACCAACAGAAGTAACAGTAACCGACCCTCGAGAGCCTTTTGTAATTGAGGCTGAAAGACGATTTGATGGTAGTTATGGAATTAATACAAGTGACATTCCAAAGGAAACTTGGAGTGTCGTGAGTGGGAAAGATAAACCTGAAGATGATTTTGATCCAAACGAACTTCATTGTTTGGACGGATATGAAAGAAACGACCGAGGCTATTGCGTTGGTAAGTCTGAGTTCACAAAATACTTTATTGATATTTACGCGAATATTTGACATTTAAAATAAAACTTTGTCAGACAGCTAACACCTTAGTCTCCCCCATGACCATTATTGCTGTAAAGCATTCGAAACGTCGGGAACTAAAAATTAAAATAAATTCGCAAAAAAATCTGAAAGTTCCCATACTTTTATAAACAAATATTTATTTATTTATTATTAAACTAACAGCAGCATTTACGGCTACCAATCGTAAGATCCTGAGTTTGAATCGCGGGTCGGGCCAAAATAATTACTAAGATTTTCTATCATGAATGCACTTATATCTGCACACACTCGTGCACTTTAATATATTCCGTGCAATTGGTTAGTCTCAGTGAGGTTGGCCGCCGTAACAGGAGGACGTTTAATACACCTAAATCATACAAAATTTCAAAAAGTCAATTGTCTACAGATATCGATGAATGCAAAATCAACAGCGCCGCCTGCGATGTATCAGAAGTGTGTGTTAATAGTCCGGGAATATTTGAATGTACTTGTAAGCCAGGCTATGTAAGAAACAGTGCAGATAAATGCGTGTTACCAACACCACCGACCACTCGAAGGACTACAACTACAGAAAGAACACCGCGTGTGATCGAGGTGACCACAGTGGGTAAGAAAATTATAAACTTGTTTATTTAAATGTTTATAGTCTACAGTCCTCAACGGTTTTTTAATAGTTTATAACAAGCAAAACCTTTGTGAGTAGTTTAGTAGTAGAAAAAATTATCACAGTCGGGACGACAAATCCGACCGTAGGACTGAGAAATCCTATCATTTTATTTGTAGAACGATTTGATCATTCAATTATGCATATTTTTAATAATAAATACTATGAAAATCAGCCGGTTAATATTAATCTTAAGACGTTATTTTAACAAGTTCGAAGAGGGGGAATATTTGATCCAAACTATCTGTTTTGTAAGACAATATTTTTTTCTTGTTTAATGTTGGATTATCTCAAGATTAAATTGTAAAATAACTTAGTTGTTAGTAATAAATTTTAAACATACGCCATTTTGAAATGTTCCATATGAGCTACAATTATTGTATCTACCATTATCAAATTCTCGTAGAAAAAATATTTGGGCACCTCGCCAAAAACTCACGAAGTTTTAGCTTGTTTTTTATTAAAAAATATTTTTTTTATTGTTTTCAATTAAATTAATAATAAAAATAATCCGTTGGAGACTATTAAGCTCATTTTTTAAGTATATTCAATAAACTCTTTAAGACAAGAAGAATAAAGAGATTTTTAAAGCCAATCGTAAATTATAAAAATCTATAAAATTAAACGTATCTGTCTCTCTTGTGTTCTCAGCATCAACAACACCAAAATGGTCGTATTCACCGTATAGTCCTAACCGATATACTCCTCCGAAAAATTGCGAGTTGGGTTACATTTACAGCCCGGGTCAAAGGAAATGTGTTGGTAAGCTTATACTTATTTTATTGTCGTTAATTGCGTATAAGTAAGAGAATGTCACAGAAATCTTCATAATTTAGCTTTTTCAAATCTTATATCAATTAGGTATGTTTAAAGTAAAAGAATATATATAAAAAAATAACAGCCTTTTTTTTTTTAACGTTGGGAAATGCATTTACGCACGAAGTGTGGGACTCACCGGCGAAGCCAGTACTACCCACTAAAACCCAACAAAACCTTCCCCCGTCTTAATGGGGCGTCGCAGGATCGCTTACGCATTCAACTACGACGCCCCGACGGCAGGTCTGCCGAAGCAGACCACAACAACCATGGGGTTGCTCCACGGTCCACTCTGCTATCAGAGAAGTACCAGGAGCAACCCGCATGGTACACCACCCTCCGAAGAAGGCCGCCTCCCACCGCCCACCGAAGCGGGCCACCTCCCTGTGCGTTTCTTGGCTTCGCGAGTACACTACTAAGCCCCCCCACCACGACAAGGTGAACGCACGTTGGGGGGGAAGCCTTAGTTAACCTTTTTAGTTTAGTTTAAACTTAGTAAATTTATTTGTGTACGTTTTTACCTAAAACATATAACTTTATGTAGATAAAGTGAATAATAAAAAAGCATTACGATGTTGTGCTTAGATTTAGTCATAGAAAGGAACTTAAAAAATAAATATTTATTAATTAAAGACATTGATGAATGCGCAACAAGAAGAGCAAGTTGCGCGCCGGAAGAGGACTGCGTTAACACAGAGGGTGGCTACAACTGCGTGTGCGGCGTGCGCTGTCGGGCCAACTCTGCTACACCCACATATTGTGAGATATAATATATTATATATTTCAGTTTATTAAACGCAAGCAACGTAATAATTTTAATTAACGAAAGTTCGAAAAAGACATAAAGTAAGACAAGATCACTTAGATAATTACTTAATTTAATTTTTTAATTCAGTTTTAAAAATGCATTTACGCAATTTTTCTTCAACACGTTTAACGTAAATACATATATTTTACGGATTCAGGTGTGGGCTTAGAATTTTCTTAAATATTCTTTTCTAATATTATGAGAGCTCAAAAAAAGTTTATCTGGGTGTAGAAATATATGCTTCTCTATAAATAAACCCCTCTTAACACAAAATCATCTATTTGGTTTGTTGACACCTCAGAATACAGACAGACTATATTCTGAGGTTGATACTTACATATTAGGATTCAATGTTTAATATTATCTTTTATAAATATGTAAATTCTTTCCACAGCCCACCGGGACACTCCACCATCGTATTCTCCAGACTCTACCGTCATAACGGTAGGAGCACAGTACGGTCAAAGACGCACTCGCTATGTGAGACCTACCTATACCAGGTTACATGACACCGGGGCTGTTGTTACAACTTGCCCATGGGGATACAAACTTACTACAGATAGAATTTGTCTAGGTAAATTAAAGTAGTTTATTTTATCACTGTATATTTTTAATTGTCAATAAAAAATAGACTTTATTTTAGTAAAGCACAGGTGTCATTTAGGTCCAAAGCTCTCTACTGTGGTTAGGTTTCTTATATATTAATAATTCAAAATAAATAAATACATAGGTATTTAAAATAATTTCAATTAAAAAGCGTTTTGTATAAAACGGTAACTTAATAAACATCCATTATTCAGATATTGACGAATGTGAGCGGAATGTGTCAGAGTGCGGCCCTCAACAACGATGTGAGAACTTCTACGGTGGATATTCATGTCAATGCCCGCCTGGACACAGGAACATTGGGAAGCTCTGTGAAGATATAGATGAGTGCAGTTATGGCAATGTAAATGTGGCAATATTATTTTATGATAAATATAATAAATAATTTTAGTATTTTCAGATGTAATTAAAACGTAAGGTAGTGTAAATGAATGTGTATTAATGAGCGAGTGAGCTTCAGGTGTTGCAAATTTTAAATAAATAAATAAATCGTCTTTTTCAGACATGTTCATATAACGCGCGTTGCGTGAATACAGTGGGGTCCTATAAATGTGAATGTTCTGAGGGTTTCCAAAATGCGCCATCTAACGACAAGGTGTGTGTCGACGTGGACGAGTGTTCCGAGTCTCCGTCAATCTGTGAGCATGGGTGCGCTAACGCGTGGGGCGGCTACCGGTGCTACTGTAACAGAGGATATAGGCTAAATAATGATAATAGGTGAGGATGAACATGGTCTATATATTTTTGAGTTATTTAACAATAAGCATCCCCGGTCTGACTAACACTATTTAAGATCTAAATCAGACCATGGCGTTGATTGTCGATCGCTCTTTGAAGTATTTGTGCTCGGACATGTTCCTGTATCTAGAAAACTGTTGAAGTTATATTGGATCAAAAATTAGACTTTTCTTATATTGCAAATAGATCTATCAAAAAAAATCATGCTTATTTTGACTATAGGGATAATCACATTTACCTACTTATTTTGTTGAAACTTTTAAAACTTAGGCTCAATTAACGGGACGAATTTCATTCTGAAAAGTAAATTTAGACTTTTTTACTAAAGTCTTAAATTTTAAAACTATTGCAGGACTTGTGTAGACATAGACGAATGTGAGGAGTGGTCCCGAGCGCGGTCCCGCGGTCGGCTCTGTGCTGGCAACTGTGTCAACGTACCTGGCTCGTACCGCTGCGCGTGTCCAGCCGGCTATCGGCTCAGTGAGGATAAAAGAACTTGCATAGGTAATCACGCTACTATTATAAGTAATCACATTACATTATAAATGTGAAAATGTTAAAACGCCGAAAGGACAGGTTTGGTGGAATACACAATATATTACCTGGACAACCTATATAGGATACTGTAAGGCAGTGGTAGCCCAGTGGTAACGCGCTCGCTTGAGAAACCGAGTAAAGCGGGTTCGAATCCCAGGTCTAGCACCTCTGATATTTTCATATTCGAATCATTTTCACCATGATTACCACTTGTCTTACGGTGAAGGAAAACATCGTGAGGAAACCTGTATTTCCGAGGAAACCTAACGTGTTTTCAAAGGACATGTGAAGTCCGCCAAGCCGCACTTGGCCAGCGTAGTGAACTATGGCCTGGTTCCTCCTCGTATTGAATGGAAGCCAGTGCCCACCTGTAGGACATTAAAAAGGGCTGAATACTGTTAGTAAATAATGTGGCGTTGTCTAAATCAAATCAAATTATTTTATTCAGCATTAAATTATTACAATTTTTTACTGAACGTCATGAGTCTACCAGTTCCGAAAGAAGAAGCCTCAGACCTAAGAAGAACTGGCGAAAGAAACTCAGCGGGACCAATATCTTTTCTTAAAGTATAATCTTTTTTTTAAAGTAAAATTATAATTTACAATATTTCTATCGAGTTGAAGTAGCCTGGAGGCGATCATTTCATTCCCAAGGTGTGCCATCTTCTATAAAATCATTTATTGTATAATAGCCTTTAGCACACAAACGTTCTTTAACAATTTTTTTGAATTTGGCGATAGAAGTCTTTTGAACATTTTCTGGGATCCTCTTGTCTGATCTTTTTGTCTTTAGATGCCTAAGGACGTGACCGATCAAATCGAGGATAGGTCGTTAATATTATGTAAAATTGTGAACTGTAAATACTATTTGGGAATATTTCTTAAGTGTGAATTAATATTCAAAAATTAACATTATCGACACAAGTAATGGAATATTGGACTCTCGTCTCGAGCAATATCAAGAGATCGGTCAGGTTTTTACTTTCTTCAGAATATTTAGATTTATAGATATATTTATATTTATAGATTTTAGCGAGTTTGGCCCTTTTCTACCAATCTACAACTCATATTTTGCCTTTTTAAATTAATATTCACATTATCTAATGATTGATAGATATCGACGAATGTGAGTCTGGTGAAGCTCGATGCGGGCGCGGAGAAGGCGAAGTATGCCAGAACACTCACGGCAGCTATCACTGCCACCACATCGACTGTCCACCTGGATACCATCTCGAAGGAAAACAGTCAGTTAATTATTTTTATAGCTATACTATTTGTATACATAATGGAATAATCATTTATTCTTTACCTAAACCTTTGGCTTTATAAAACAAACAAAGGCTTTTAAAAAATATTTTTAAGTCACTTAAGCAGTAGATATATCAATAGATAAGATAATCGAATCTGGCATATTACACAGATTATATTATTAGTATGTATATTAAATATTGATAAAGGAAATGTAAAAGTGACAAAAGTTTATTTAAATAAATATTAAAGAAACTTTGCCTAAATAAGCTTTTGTTTATTTAAAACTAGGTTAAGTTTCTTTAAATATCATGACATCTTTGTTAATATAATAAATTGTCAACAGCAAATGTACGCGAACTGAGCGCATGTGCCCGCACTCCGACTGGTCGTGTCTCCATCAGCCTAGTCATTACACCTATAATTTCATTACCTTTGTCGCCAATCTCTTTCTTCCTATGGGCAGTGTAAGTATTGTTCTAACTTTTGAATGTAATACTACAGAATTTCTTTTTTTAGTAGAAAACTAAAAAGTTAAATTGCACCCAGCGTGGGGAATGCCGAACATTAAAATAAATATTTCTATGAAAAATTGTATTGAAAATTATAAAAGAAACAAAATAAAAGAAAAAATCTCGTTACAATCGTATAAGTTCATCTTCTTTCCTCTTATATTTGGGTGCCTTCTTTTCCACAGGACACAGACTGTATCTGTCAGTCAGAGTCTCAACGCTAAATGAAATCGTACAGCTCATCCAAAAAATAGCGGGAACAAACACGACATTTTTTAGAATTTGTTATCATGTTGATAAAGAGCTAGGGTATTTAGGAGTAGTTTGAAATCTCACTCTTAAATAATATTTATAAATATAGCTTTACTGGATATATTTCTTAATTATTTGCAGGTGGATTTATTCTCAATGCAAGGCCCAGCCTGGGTGGACTCTGTGGTACAATTCGAAATGCGTCTTGTGAATGTAAAAGCTTCACCTGGTGTAATGCCAGCTGGCATTAGTTGCTTTGGGTAAGGTTTTTAGAATAGAGTTAGCGTATGTTATTTAATACTAGCAGACCCGATATACGTTGTCCTATTCAAATTTCAATAATTTTCTGTGTGATTTGTTCTTACAAAAATAGTTATCGAAAATTACGTTCATGTTTCCCTGTATACTAATTTTCCAGGCAATTTTATATTTTTTTTCTCTAAAACCTTATTAGAACTATGTGTTATATCTATACAAATATTAAAAAAAAAAACAAATCCGGCTGTTCACAATTGATGGCCTTACCAACGCACAACGTTTCATTTTCTTATTAGACAATACCCATACTTAGAGTTTCCTAAAGCTATTTTTATAGTCTACATTTTTTTAGGCACTAAATAACAAAATAAAAAAGATACCTAATCAGTTGCCCCTCTTAAAAACTTCCTAGACGTCATAAAACAAAATACTTAAATTTTAAGTTTTTTAATCAATCGCCATATTTTTACAGTATGCGACCAACAGCCAACGTGTGTGTTATATTCCTACAATGTTCTCTCGAAGGACCTCAAGTGGCTGAACTAGAACTAACGATGTCTTTATACCAGCGGGGGCAGTTCGCCGGCAGTGCCGTGGCCAGGCTAGTCGTTATAGTTTCTGAATATGAATTTTAAAATTTAATATCCATTTGTACAGTAGCTTAAATAAGTATATTCTAAGTTTTTGTGATGCAGAATCATTGATATATAAAAACATAGATACCTACACATTTCCTAACAAATATCTCTTCAAAAAGTGGCGTCGACAGTGACGTTAAGTGAAACCAAAGAATAAAATTCAAATATCAAAAGTTCTAATGGTCTAATTACAAATTCTAACCACATAAAGTCGTTTTTTAAACTTAACAACGTGCGTTTTAAATTTTATCCGAAAAGCAATGAACAAGATATTTGAAAAAAGTACAATCGATTTGTGCACTTCTTTTTGAGGACATTTTGAGACTAATTCTGTGTGTTTTTGTATATCAATGCGCAAAATAGATTTTTTTGTGATTATTTGTATGTATATTTTTACTAATAACTATAGGTATACGTGTAGCAGCTGTTTTCATTTTTATTGTATTTGTTCTAAAATCAGGATAGGAGGACTTGTATCGTAAAAGTATCTAAAAATTTTAATTGATTTTATTAATCCCTCCACACGTCGGCATGTCAGTTAACAATAGATTTCTTAGAAATTTAATTAATTTCCAAGAAATTTACCTGGAGGTGTTAAAAAGCTTCCATGCTCCGCAAATTGGACTTAACTGCTGTATAGTCTTAACACTATAGAATATCTATGATAAGAAATGTGAAATATCTATGATATGAAAACGATTTTTTTTTCTTTATTTTTCCTTTGAAAAATCAATGCGGTGATGTCTCCGCGTTTGCTATTACTTAACACTATTGTTCGTAAGAATTTTTTAATAATTGTAATATAATATTTATTGTTAAAATAAATTTTACAAATTTAACTAGTATTTTATGTAATAAACCACATAATTTTAATCTAATGATCACATAACCAAATATGTGGTTGGAAAAATTAAGATTTAGAGGTCGGCAACCGAACTCACATGAGTGGATCTCAAATCGTAATCATATCAGAATTTTGTAGATGTTATAAATTTGTTTTTTTTTAATGAAATTAATGAAATTTTAAAGACAAACTATAAAAGGAAGAGAAATTTCCACTTGGCGATTTGTCACCTTAGTGCTTATTTATTCAAACCACCAATACTTGTCGAACTTTACAGTAGTTTTTTTCCTATACTTAAAAAAAGCTTTATTTCTAAGCGATCTCTCCCAGGCAACCTTGAGGTGGAGCAGGAAGTGTAATATGTGTGTTTGTTTGTTACTCCTTGAAATAACACATAAACTACATCTGTTAAGTAATAAAATTTGCCAAAAGATGGCGCTGATGGTTTGCCTAAAGTGAGGAAATGATAACACAAGCAACAAACTAAGAGGAAAAACAAGTAAAACAACGAAAATAATCGCAATATAATCTTTTAATTTCATTAAGCACAAGCATTTCGTAGCGCACGAGGTGCTACGTATATACATATACCTATAGGTAATAATGCATTAGTAACTGATTATCAAGAACAAGATCACAACGTAATATAAATTTAAATCATATCTAGACAACATGAAAATCCTTTAACGTACAATAATATCCTGGTCCCTATCTGTTTCGCTCCTCACCGCACCAAATTATAAAAAAAATACAATACAAATATTTAGTCTTAAGTTCAAAACGCACGTTTAATCTAATTTATTGCAAAATTTGTGGACATAAGGCGTGGTTATTTACTTTTCAACATGTTCAAACAAGTCACAACCAACAGATGTCACAGACAACTACATATACCGATGTCAATACAACAACTTGGTTCCATCTAACTTATCTCATGATGGCTAACGGAACTCTTCAACGTTTTTTGTAAAACCTTCGAGTTTGCTATCATTTGTTTCTTTTAAAACGAGTCCCATACATTACAATTAGTCAAAAGCTATGGCAATCTATCTCATTTTTCAGGTCAATTTCGAATTACATATGAAAAGAAACCTGTGAACTGTTTTGACATAGACCTTTCATGTCAGTCATTTATTATAGAATAATTGCCGACAGTGGTAGGTCAGTGATAGCGCACTCGCTTGGGAAACCGAGTGAAGCGGGTTAAAATCCCGGGAATCGCACCTCTGATATTTTTATGTGCGAATCATTTCTAACATTATTACCCCTTGCCTTACGGTGAAGGAAAACATCGTGAGGGAACCTGGATGTCTGAGAGAACCTAGCAAGTGTCGTTCGCCAACCCGCACTTGGCCAGAGTGGTGTACTATGGCCTGATCCCCCTCGTATTGAAAGAGGAGGTCCATGCTCAGTAGTGGGACGTAAAAAAAGGGCTGAATACATTTATTATAGAAGACATTTTACTGTCAATGGCAAAGTGACCTGGCATAATTAAATAGTGAACGGACGCGCGTTTATGAAACGTGATGTGCATGGGCCATTTTAAGATTATCAGCGCAGAATAAATGTTTCCTAAGATACAAATATAACATTTGTAATGTTATTAATTAGCTCTGTAACGTTTAGTAAAATTACTCTTGATTTAAAAAAAATCTTTTTCATTTTAAAAGTTAGGCCATTTTTTCGGTAACAAGTTTAACATATTTGTTCTATCAGACAAATTCTCCAAAACGAAAAATTCTTAGAATAAAAATATGAACTGATCAACTAAAAAATCCACGCCTTAAATTCACATTGTGCAATAACATAGGTCATAAACAATCAATGAAGTATATAATGTAAAAAATAACATAATTATATATAGGTATTTACAAAATATAAAATACTATTTGTAATAAAAATATATCTAAACTGCCAATTCATAAATATATCTATAAAAAATAAAATAAAATATCAATGTATATAGCAAGTTCCATTAACGCTGCATTTAACTTTATTTGAAACTACAAATATACGTTTATATATTGTTTCAAAGAAAAAGACGTTTTTTTCTAAAAAAAACGTTATTTCTTAGTCCCTCTTTCTAGTAACAATAATTCTATTATTGAAATCTAACTAATTATCCATAGTTTCAATATAAATTAATTGCAGCTTTACACATTCCATTTCCGACAAAAACAACATCATATCCAAAATTCGTAGTTCCGAAAAACAATGTCGCATCTAAAATGTAATACTAACAGAAAACCTGTACAACTTTATATATATTTATTCACTAGTAACATAAGAATACAATTTTTTACTAGCATAGAGACTGTCAAAGTTACATGTACTTCTTACAATACATTTTTTTTGTATCATTTAACTCTTGGTATAACTTATGTATATTTGCTCTGAGCGAGAATAAAACCTCCGACTAGGTTAGAAGGTATTAAATTTATAAACATTATTTCTATATTTTACTTTAAACTTCATATAATTTAACATTTTGTTCAAATACGACATTGTTCTTTGGAAATCATTAATAGATTAGGTTAGCTGCCTCAAAGCAACTTAGGCTGCCTTCACACGACCTTAAGACAATTAAATAGTAACTTGTATGAGAATTGAATTGTACTTTGACAAGATTAGGAAAAAAACAGACATGCAATAAAATTACTACATGTTATATTTATACTTAACATTTTTCTTGGCAAGACTAACTATTCTAATTGCCGTGAAAAAACACTATTAGAGGTCAACTGATATAAATATTATTATTAATAATTTCGAGCATGACTGTACGCATCTCAATATACGTACATACAATTTTATATCAACTGTTTAAATAAATTGAAAATTGGGGCAATTCTATTTATTATTTAATATAAAATCGACATTATACAATAAGAAAGAGTAAAAAGCATTCAAAGAAAGAGAGAAATTATAAAACAAGAAAACATGATATTGTGAATACAGCCATACAAAAAATGTTTATATAATATAATAAAAATGGCGTAGACAACAGTCTTGAACATAGAGCGGAGTCTAAAATCTTTATAATATATTGTATTTTATACACAATACGAGGCAAGTCGGAAACACTGAGAGTGTACAATTTGATATGATACTATAAATTCGTGTTTAGACGTCGCGAACTGTGTACAGTCGAGTGAAAAAGTTTTAAACCCAATATTTAATAATTATATTATTGATTTTTCTATTTAGCAGCCAATATTGAAAGTAAAAAATACTTCTTAGGTCCATTATATTGACATATTTTATATGTCAATATTATATTATTATAAAAAAATAAACATTATGGTTATTTGGACTAAAAGTAAGTCTTAAGCTTCTGTGGTATTTTATAGCTAAATATTCATAAATAAATACCTCATTCAATGACGATGTTTTTGTGAAGTATTATTTAAAATAAAATATTATACTTCAGATATTTTTTTATGTATGGAATATTCTAGCATATTGTCAAGGTTTTGATAAAACGACAGTAAATTATTTCTGCTTTTGTATATCACAATAATATTTAACATAAAAAAAAGAAAAATAAACCTACTTAAATTAAAAAAAAACTAATATTTTCGCTTCCGACTGTACACAATATTGTATATATATATAAATCTCATCTCGAGTACATACTAGTATGAAATTAATCACATTTACAACTAAAAAGCATTATGCTTTAAGACACTAGCTTTTTGTGACTCGGTTATAAAAATTTGTAATACGCTTTTGATGCATGCCGAAATAGTTTTTCTATGAACAAAAATAAAACAATAACAAAAATTTTCGATGAAAATATTTTTTTTTAATATTTTAAGTCCACATATAAAAAAACATAATTAGAGATGAACGATTGATTATTCTTAGTTATCTAGTAGTTATAACTTAAGCCTAGATCCAACATGCATCGTAGATTATAACATAATATTTAATACTATAAAAATGTCAATAAAGCAATAAAAAGAAAACTTTGAAAATGAACAACTTTTGTAATATATATGTTATACTGTACATACATTCACTTATACTGTGTTTTATATATGGGAACTATAGAAAAGGCTGAGAAGTCTGTTAGTACAGATAGAGAAATTTCTATGAGACCATGCAGTCGATTTGAAGATAAAATGAACAAAACACAGAGCCACTTGTAATTTTTTTTTAATTTGATTTAAATATCTTAAATTGCTCGTTTGGAAAATAAAGTGAAGCGGGTTCCAACCCCCGGTCTTCGTCTAATATTTTCATGTGCGAATCATAATTATCAAGGAAAAGGTCCTGAAGAAACTTGCCTGAAATGTATAATTATAAAGTCCGTCAACTCCCACTTGGCAGTATGATGGACTATGGACTATAGTACAGTGGAACGTTAAAAAGGGCCGTATATATAATTATTAATTTTTTTATAGCTTCAAATACTTTTCACAAATTGTAAGTTTACTGTTCGATGTTTGCAAAACATATGTTTTAAGATATTTAAGCAAATTATGAATTTTGGTGTAAGTGGTCCCAAGAACTGTATTTTGATAAGTTAAAAAAGGTGTATAGTAACTTCTATATTTGCCCTAAATAATTTTGGGGTTTTCGAATATAATTTCAATGCCAAAACTTTAAGAGCATTTTTTTATGTATTCAAGATCTGGAACTTTAAAAAATAGTTTTTTTTTTATTCTAAAATACAACAACGACAATAATCTCTACCTCTAATAAATTCAAACTTCTACACCTTTTCTAACGGCTCAGCCAATATACTGAGACGAGATTAAAGAGTCCCAGACACGTTCAAATATTATGTTTGTCAAATAATTTGACATGTCGTGCTTTAAGGTTTTGATAAGCTGTCACTCATAAAATTAAAAATCTAAAAAATATATGGATATGACATAATACAATGATTCTGTAACAATTAATCGTCTTAATGCTTATTTCTCCAAATGGCCAATTTACCGAAAGAGTTTTTATTACAAAAATTATTGACTTTTTTTGACTTGATTTAATGTCAATTTCATTAGTATAAAATACTTATTATACTTTAATATATCTATATATGTATATAAATCTTAGAAATAAAGCTTGATTTTTAAATTTAAAATAAAAAAAAACTCTCCACTGTAAAGTACAACAAGTAGTAGTTTGAACAAGTAAGCAATAAGACAAACTAACACTATCTGTACAATTTTTAAAATTTTCATTTTTTAATGGTTGAAGAAAGACATCTTGCCTGAGCCCACTTGTTTAATTTAATATATTTGACAAACAAATCACGCGATTTCAAAAAACACAGAAAATATTTGAACGTATCGAACCCTTAACAAGAAACACTACTCTCTAAGCAACGGGAAGCTCAATAGAAGCAACGAAAATGGCATTCGGTCATCACTTTGTAATTAATATATTACAAATAAAATTCCTTAAAAAACTATCACGAAAAAAATATATCAGTACTAATACGTTCAACAGACAATATAATTATTTAAAGATAAATCGATATTTCAACATCGATTTAATGTTAGGCTCGTTATGGGGTAGAACAATACATCACAAAAGTTGATCAATTTGTTTAGAACTTAGTTGTATTGACACTGTACTGGTAGAATATGCATTTTTGTAATTATTTTAGAAAGAAACTGTAGATATTATATTCTATCTCTTTCATTTATTTATTCTGTGGAAGTACATATTTGCGTATCTATAGGACATAAATTATCGATTAAAATGAAATTTGTTTAAGAACATGGTTTTTACCACAGAGTATAAATAAAAGTAAGAATCAGATAAAAAGAAAAAACAATATAAAATAGATAACATTGTAAATTGATTTCAATAATATTCTAGAAAAGTAAGCATTAACAGAAAATCGGAATAAATCCAATTCATACGAAATCTAAAAAATGACATGAAAACAAGAAAAACAAGTTTATATTGAAACGTACAATCGTACAACCGATTAAAAACTATAAAAATCTATACAAATTTTATTTAATCAAAATCGATAAACTGAATGATTTATAAATAGTATCGATAGAAGCAAATATTCGAATATATTAAATATTTATTATTTAATTATGTATGTATGTATGTTCAGAACATATCTCCAGTATAGCGCAAATCCAACAACATAGAGAACATGTTACCTGATATGAGATAAGTATAAAATAATTCAGTCGAGACGAGTTAACACCTAAACAAATCAATCAACGTGCTATGCACCTAAAATAATTACGTATATATAAATCATTTCTTCTTAACAGTAGAACTACTCGCGCAACTACTCGACCGAGTTTGAATACCATCTTTCTTTAACAAACTTACACCAAAAGCGGGACATTTTTTTCGTAACGCTTTTATCTTGTATAACTTGTTCCCTTGAGAATTACTCGTTTCCTCAAAGTTGTCTGGAGTGACGTCGGCGGTTATAACGGAGTTTGATATGCAATCCATTGGTTCTGGGGTTTTGGATTTGTCACGTTTCCGCCGGAAACGAAAGGGCGTGTCTAAGGAGTCGGCGGATATGTTCGTTATGTTGGTATCACTGGAAGACAGTTCCTGACTGGCTTCTAGACCGGACTTTGGAAGGCTTTTTGGAAGTTTCTTGCGTGAGCTCGAATTTGATCGAACGATTAGTTTTTTGCGCGGAATGTTGGTAGTTTTTGTTTGGGTGACGGCTTTTAGGCTAGGTTCTGATGGTAGACGGTTTTTGCCGTTCAAATGACAGTTCTCAGTTAGGGCTGACAGCGTAGAAGTGACATTTGTGAGAGTCGATACTACGGACGAGTCATTTCCAGTAATTTTTGTGATGGCTTTTCTTGTGAAAGTTTTTATGGGGCTATTCCCATGGGAGTATGGAAGGGCGGGACGCGCTAAATTGGCACGTTGACCGTGGAAGCTGTTCTTACCTGTAAAAGGTGTTTTAACCCCAGTCAATTTCACTTGAGAGTTGGCACTTCTGGTTGGCGGGAAAGTAGAAGTCTTAGATGCGTAGGATTTCAATGTCGCATTCATAATCCTCGGTTGGGGTTTTAGGTTGGTATTATTGGCGTTGCGGATGTTGTTTGTTGGCATCATGTAGTTAATTTTTGGCGTGAATACTGTTTTGGTTGGCAGCATTGGAGTGGCTGTGGTTTTGTATTTACCGATTACGGAAGTGACGTTATTTTCGGAATCCGTTTCGTTTGCATTTAGGACGTTTGCGTTATCCAACTGTAATAGAAATAAATAAAAATTATTTTTTTATTAAATATACTGAATATTTATACACTTTACTAGAAAAAATATATCAATTTTACATTGTTTATCAAAAAAATGTTATTAAAGTATATTAAATAACATAATATCATACATTTATTATTTACATTTAAGTAAAAAATTCTTAAAGCTATTCAGCATTCTTAAATAGCTAATAAAATTGAAAGTTTTTTTTAACACACAAACAATTCTCGGTTTATATTTATTTGTATATAAACTGGAGGCCCACCCCCAGCAGTAGGACGTTAAAAAGGCGCCGAATGAGAATACTTACATATATTAGCATAAATATTTATGTACATAATTTTAACCCAATTGTATTGGCAAATATAAAAGTAACCTCCTATATATTACCTTGTTATTCTTACTATTCAGTATAGTTTGCAAAGACACAGGCTTGTGCATTTCGGGCAATGGCTCCGGTGGCAGGTCACTGTATATGCCCCGGGAAAATACCGGGAAAGATGTGATGTTGAGACGACGTCTGTATGCTTCGCCTAGAGCGTGCATTCGTGGTTGGATGCTGGGAAAGAAAAAAGTTTAAATTAATAATTAACTAAATTATAATTTGTTATTTTCTAAATATATGTACATATATCCCTCCCAAAGCAATTTTAAATATATTCAAAATTTATATTTGTTATGATTTGTTAGGGTATAACTCCAGCATAATAAGCAATATTTGTCGCTGATATAAATTAAAAATCGTTCGAAATGTAGTTTCTGAGAAAGCACGCTTTTGAAGACTTTTGTAATGTATGTGTTATCAACACGAACAAAATAAGCTCCAGGTATTGAATAGATCTCCTGTACAACTCCTGGCTCGACCTATATCATCAGATCAGATCGATGACATCAAATTATTGTACTTTCATCCACATTTCAAACAAACGAAGTTTCGAATAAACAATTTAAGCACCGTTTAAAGAAATTTACAAGATCATAGATTTATAAGACTAATTAAACTCAAATATTTTTGTTAAGAATTTACAACTCATAAACCATTATCTAGTAGCTGACCCGACAGACGTTGTCCTGTACCAAATTTGATTTTATTTGTGAGTTGTTAGGTCTTTGGTACAAACATTCTAAGGAAAAAACCACGTACATTTGCTCCCAATTTTCCAAATTTTTGTCCCTTAAAAATCTTAAAGTTAACTATTACGCAAACTTTAAAAACAAAATTAGCTAAATCCATCCAGCCGTTCCCAAATGATGCACTTACCAACGAACAGTCTTTCATCTATACAAATAAATAAAATTGATGTGTCTCTTGTAATAACAAAATAAACGATTTTTACTTAAAGTATATGAAAGTATATGAAAGTATAAGAAAAACACAATTTTTAAAATTTCTGTCTGTCTGTCTGTTCCGTTTGGTCTGGCTAATCTTCAAAACGGCTGAACCGATTTTGATGGGTTTTTCATTTGATGATGTTATAAGCAGCAACTTAGGCAACTTTTATTTTAGAAAAAGAATTAGGGTTCTGCTTATAGATTAATACCAAAAACCACTAACTTTTCCAAGAACCATTGCTGGTGACCAATAACGGAGCCGGGGCGGCACACGCGTAGCCACGCGATCGCCTCGCGCGCCGTGAACCCGTGGTGCTTCATCATATAGCACCCTATTAGAGTACCAGTTCTGCCCAAGCCCGCTGCAATACCATTCGTATTTTATTACTTTCCTTACGTAGATACATGGATAAAATATAGTATTTGTAACATTTTGGAATAGTATGTATGATTTTAAGTTGATAGATGAAGCAGTTATGAAGAAGCTTACTTTTTATTTCAATAATTATATTTTCCATTCTAAATTAGCCTGTAATAGTGTTACTTTGTAAAACTATTTTTATACACAACTATATTGAGTAAAGAAATGTATTCTTAGTATATATTATATACTAATAATACATTTAAAATTTAAATACATACATATTAAATATTTATGTATTTTTTGATTTGATTGAGTTTACTGCGAAACATTTTTTGGAGCTAACTTGGAACTCGACTCCAGAACGTCAAATATTGCAACCATAAAAGCCAATTTCTTTACCAGTGTGACAATTGTAATATATTTTTTTTGATATGGCAGAACACTTAACTTTAAACCGTTCATGAATTAAAAAATCCTGCATTTTGCCTGCTCAAAACTAATATCGCGCATTCACAAATTTATTATTAATAGTCTAAAAAATATATGTTCCATACAAGTTAAATATTTAAGATGTATAGAAAACTAGCGACCCTCGCTTCGTTTGGGTTCGCCTCTAGAAAAACAAAAACAAACCTATCCCTCGGGAACCGTATATTTTTCCGGGATAAAAAGTAGCTTATGTGTTATTCCAGACTACAATCTATCTATGTGCCAAATTTCATCCAGATCCGTTCAGCCGTTCTGACGTGAAAGAGTAACAAACATCCATACTCACAAACTTTCACATTTATAATATTTAATTTATACTTTATACAGATAATCCATACATAAACAACATAAAGAATCCCGGCATATTTCTACTCGATAAAAAACAATTACCTTTGCAATGCACAGCAACCGCTCCCTTCGCCGTTTCCGCAATACGAATAAATCTGTTCACAATCAAATCCGATGGTACGGAACCATCTACGAAAAACAGTTCTCGATGGTCGAAACCGTGTGACGTGAACTGTTTCGCATCGTACGACTTCTTGTTCAACCTCACTACTGTAGTTACGTTATATTTCTTAAAGTACTCGTGGTAGTGTTCCGGACTGTGGAGAGGGTAGCCGCGGTCGAGACGCGAGCGATGGTGCGGCCCAGAGAACGCTAACATTTTACTTGGAATTATCCAGTTTAGATCGCCGTTTTCTACTTTCTGTAAAGTAATAGATATTTTTTTGTTTTAGATTATATATATATATATAATATATATATATATATTATATATATATATATATATTATATATATATATAGGATATTAATGGCATCTTGTTTAGTGCTATTTGTTTTCTGTAAATTATTAAGTGCGTGAATCGAACCTATTACCTACAAAATATATTAAGCGTTGACATTAATGCAATTTACTTAATAGTTTTATAGTAAAATAAAAAGAACAAACATCTTGAGCAATAAGGCCAAATTGACGAATTTAGTAAAATCAAATTGCATTCCATCTTCAAAAAAAGCCTAAAAATCGACTACTGCGAAGACAAGATCATTATTCGAGCGGGATACCAATTATTATTATACAGCTTGAATTTATAAAAAGTTGATGGAAAGATAATTGATCAATTTTGAGATGCAACATTCTAAGACACCAAAAAAAATATATCATAACAATATCAATATCAAACCTCATAAAACAAATACTGTTCAGCATCAAAGTGCTCGAAATCAAAGAACTTGGCGTCATGCGCCACTTTGATCCCATGTAATACATCCAAGAGGGATATGTCGAAAAGAGGGGGTCCCCCTGATGCGTCCCTGAAGCTCAATAGCGACCAAGACCCTTCGGTCAACTGTTTGTACACTGCGGCCGGCGACGCGCCCAGATATATTATCTAGAATAACAAAAGCACTTTTTATTTATTTACCCAAGTGAGTAATCATCACAAACGTAGAGGAACGGAATGAAGCAAATATGCAGTTTATCTCCTTTCCGTAAGTAAATGGATGATAAAAATCTTGAAGGTACATACATCTATATAGAAAATATTAAAAAAATTTAAAAGAATCTGTCAATTCAATGGTCACGCTTAAAGAACAGTTTATGACAGTTTTGTTACAAAATGTGAATCTTAATTATTGTCTTATGAGTACTTTTTAGCTCATTTTTATTAAATAGATTTTTATTAAATAGGGTGGCCCTATATAAATTTAAACAAATACCTTTGTCTTTTAAAGTGTACCTTTTTATTAAAAAGTAATTATGCCAATTCTTTTTAAGATTAAGGCACTTCACCCATTATTATTAAGATTAAACGCTTCTCAGACAATCGCGTAAAACTAAAACTTAAATTGACCAAATTGTAGATTTAAATAGTACCAGCATTGCCCGCGGCTCCGCCCGCGTTCAGATGACCAAAAACCAAATTCTTACCTGTTTTATATATTAGTATACTCTTACATTGCAGTTTTTAATTTTTGTAAGAAATGAGACATTTTCCCGCAAAAAAAAGTATCCTATATGTTGACCCGGATAACCCACTATCATCATCCCAAATTTCTTCAAAATCCTTCAGTGGTTGTTCTGTGATGCAGTAACAGACAGACAGACAGACAAAAATTTTAAAAACTAAGATTCGGCCTCTGTATCGATAATAATGTTTATTTCGATAACATGTTCCAAAAAATATTTAATGTATAGATTCGGCTTAGTTACAATTTTATTATAAGTATAGATATGCATAAAGCTTTTAAGTTTAAACCACACTCTAGTCAAACGAGCCACAACTTCCGTTTGTTTAAGTTACCGATAAAAGAGCCGTCAAGTGCACGCTAGAATCATCAGATTATTTTATACTAGGTCAGTCATTTACTTTTTTAACTTTATGTTCTATATTTCTTTCTAGGTATATATTAAATTATTGAAATTACATAATGCGGGTGTGGGTACAATAACGTGTATAAAGATAATAGAAAAAAATATATCATAGTTTCGCTATTTCTCTTATAAGACACTAGCGACTCACCCTCGCTTCTCTCGGGTCTGTTCCTCAAATCGAAATTAAATCGGATTAGAAGTTCCTGAGATTAGCGCGTTCAAACAAACAAACTTTGCCACTATAAAATATTACTACAGATTACTTAGCGTAAAATTAATAGAAAAAAATAGAAATATATGAAAATGACATATCTAAGCGATACGTCACGTGATCAAAACATGACAATCTCTCATTTCATTTTTCTATAAGCTATATCTATTGTAGCAAGTCAACTTAGTTATGGAGCAGAGCTGGTTCAGATATCGCAGAAAATCATTTTTTTACTCTCTACTTTAACCCGCTACATTTAAATATGTGTTCTAAAAGTATTTTTATTACTGATGTTGAAATGAATAGTTTGATCTTTTAATATTCGGAGCGATGGTTGAACACAAATAATAACAATAGATACTACAGTACATACATACACTACTACATCAACACTATGACTTGTAATAGATATATGTACGTACGTACACTCTTCGAGTCACTACGAATATATTGTACACGTTAACCATCATTCGAATATTTAATTATAACTACAAACTTAAACATAAAATAAATAAGAAATTAAAGCATTACGATTTTTATTACGATAAATTAGATATTCATTTCAAAACAAAATCCAAATCGGTTCAGGCGTCTTCGAGTAATCGGTGAACATACAAAAAAAAGATTCTGACGAATTGAGAACCTCCTCCTTTTTGAAAGTCGGTTAAAAAACAGAAAGTACATTATATAATAACCTCTAACCTACCAAGTTCGAAATGACCTTTAGTTAAAACCTTCACAGAAAATTGATTACAATACAAAATAATATATTTACAAATACAAGAAGTTGAATTGATAATCATAAATATAATAATTTTAACTAAAAAATTGCACTGATTTCAAAATCAACTTAAAAGTTATTTATTAACTTGATTCCCCATACAAACTTTTATCCCCATTTTCATATGGATAAGTGATGATTTCCGACATAAAAACGATCTTCTTACAAAACTTCATCTTAATCGGTTCAGATCTAGAGATTACCCCCTACAACGTTACAAACTCACAATTCACAAACTTTACCTCTTTACAGTATTAGTATACATACGCTAACGATGAAATCATATAAACTTGAATTAAATTCCTCCTCTGATTTTGCAGTCAATTTGAATGTAAAATATAACACTTTAGCCAATTTACTAATAATTTGATTAACAATAAGTCAATACAAAAACCTTTTCAGGGTCGAAAAACTCGATACCGATAATTCGACAGCGGTGGAATTAACCAACACTTCATTACAAGGTCAACAAGGTGCAATTTTATTTGACAAACAAAATTATAAACAAACAAACAGTAGTATAGAAAATTTAAACCTGAAAGCATAAAAAATACTGACGTTTGATTTTGAGATCCAAATGCGGATCTCCTAGAAATATGATATTGATTATAGCGTGGCAAACACGTCCAGACTTCCAAAACTCAAAAAAAGGCACGGACGAAAGGTCTGTGGTCTTCCCATACTCATTTAAAAGAAAATATCCTCCTTGACCGCCTTCATACAGGAGATGGTTCCATTCGTCAACTTAAAAAACTATCCAATGAGAAGAAAGGATAAGGCTTATATTATTCACCCCAGATATCGCCTTTCTCTAACGCCTTAAGACTATAAATTAACTATTGCTTACCATAAGGCACACTTTAAGGTACATAAAAACAGCAAAAGGTAGGTACAAATAAGATAATAGTTAAAAAAATCTGTACCTGATAACTTCCGATAAGGTATGCTGCGTTGAGTCTAAGCGTTTCATTATTGCTGGTGTAGAAAACAATCTTCTTTTTCGGGTTCTTCTCCAATTCCTCAGTGAGTCTTTTACAGAACTGATAGAGGTGGCAGAGATGGTACGGTCCGAAGTCGAAGTAGAAGTTCTCGTAGACGATATCATCTTCTATATGGAAGTACTTGCTATTGCGCGTTGGTTTTGGTCTATAACCCGTTTTTAGTGTCGCGAAGTATAATCTATCTGAAATAAAGCATAACGACTGTATAGAACTGATTAAAATTAATAAATATGAAAGTTTTAATTTTACTGTTTTATTTTTCAGAAAGATCTTTTGGTTTTATTACTAGATAAAAACTTTTTAACAAAAAAATAAAAACCGACTTCAAACAAAAGCACTAAAAAGTAACAAATAACTGATTGGTAGTTTTCATTTACTATACATACCTAATCAAATATTTTCGAAGTCGGTGTGCTTAGCTTTGTATGGGCTGGCACCGATTTCGAAAATATTTGATTAGGTATGTATTTAATAGGTAGGCTTTAATTACTTAGCCAAAGCACACCGACTTCGAAAATATTTGATTAGGTATGTATAGTAAATGAAACTACCAATCAGTTATTTGTTACTTTTTAGTGCTTTTGTTTGAAGTCGGTTTTTATTTTTTTGTTAAAAAGTTTTTATTTTTCCCTTTTTAGTGTAGACAGTAGTAGCAATGTAAGGATTCTAACGTGTTAGGCTTGTCAAATCAAACAAAATAAGCCCAAACTCAAAGTATCTACTATTAGCCGTTGAAGAGTTCCACCTATCCACCTTCTGGCCTTGCCATCAGATCAGGTCAACAACACCGAACCACTGTACTATCAACGGAAATAGAAATACTTGCAAAGTTTCAAGTCAATATGACAATTAGAAGTACGTTAAATTCATCATTAGTTGTTTTTCCACCCTTAGGGGTGGTATTTTTTTTTGAAATTTAAATGGGACCAATCTGGAAGTACACCCTTTCAAACAAAACAAAAATTGTCCAAATCGGTTAATAAATGACGGAGTTCTGAGGTAACAAACATAAAAAAAAAAAAAAAAAAAAAAAAATACAGTCGAATTGAGAACCTCCTCCTTTTTGAAGTCGGTTGAAAATATCAGCGTCCGAGTGAAATACATTTTGGACTTTTAGCTTCTGCCAGAGCATCTTATGCGTGTCAAGGATTTCTAATTTGAGGAAGGTAGCCTAAATTATTTTGACATAAAACAGATATATAAAAAAATATTTTGACATTTAAAGCTAATCTCTAACGACGTGAATATGCAAATGAATTTAATGGATTTGAAACTTAAGAATTAATTATTCAGCAAGAACACCTTTTATTCATGTTTTAAAACTGAATAAATATTACAATATATATAATTAATTTAATTATGAGAAAGTATTTTGGATCACATGAAAATTTTACTTTTGCTCTTTACATTAAGATACGTTTTTCGCAATGTGAAGGTCACATATACCAATGACCTAAGCACATTTACGTACAAATGCATGTACTTCATTGTTTCGTATGTCTATATGGTAGGTACATACAGTATACGAGTCTTACTGAATATTTGATAAGTAAAAGAAAGAGAAATTATAATTGTAGCAATAAAGTGGCGTCAGAGATGACGGGGTTCGATTTCGATTAGGAGTAATTTACAAAGGTCGAATGTTTTGCATCTAAACAAAATATTTGTCTGTGTGTAGTGATTTTTACATTAAATACGTACCAAATAATAAATGTTTAGGTGATAAGATATTTATTGAATGCCATAAAACTATACATGGGTAAATCCAACATTGAAAGAATATTTTTAACGTATTTGTGCGCCGAGAGTAGGTAGCTATTTCTCTCGTATTTGAATCGTATGCAATATATAGTATTCCGCTATCACCTAATAGGGCAACTCAGCCGAGTGGAAAGTAATACTCGCATTTATGTAATAATCGATACTCTTTAAAATGTGATGTATTGACTCTTATGATCTTTTGACGGACTTCAAAGGTCAATTTATATATTTTGTATGTCTGCGCAAAATTCTTCATTTTCATTCAGTTAACTCCAATTCACAATATATTTTTTTACAGATATTTAAAAATTGCACACCCAAAGGTGGAATAATTAGTTTTGAAAGGATCTTCAATTCAGTGAAACATTTCTTAGTTAAAAGTAATCATTAAATACTATATGTTACGTTATTTATAGCTGGAGAGCTAGTGAACCCTGGGAGTAACGGTCTCCCTGTAAGGTTAGAAATTTGTCTATTTACGATTTATGGCATGCTAAGAGCAATAGCCATGACCTGGCAGGCGTCAGCCCTGCACGTCATCAGCCCCTTTATTTTTTGAACTGTTTAGTAAATTGAGTTTTAAAACTTGTTTCTGTAAATTTGAAAATTTAATAGGATAAAGTTTATTTATTGTACATCTTAAAAAAAAATTGACAGGCGATTACAATAAGCAGAAGTATATGACAGATCAATTAGAAAACCCACAGTTGATGAGGTAAAATAAACTTTATCCTGTATACTTAAAATTTTTATATGTTTTCAAGTAAACGTCTCAGAGTAAATATGTACAATGCCAGGCGGTTTTGCACAGCATAAGACCTTGACAGGCGAGGGGACAGGGAGCTGCTAAGGGCGTGCAAATAAGAAATGTTACATGAACGCATACAGTAAAATATGCAATGTATTTTATTGGGTTTTATGCAATCTACATTATTTTTAACATTAATTTTCTTCAGCATAATCCGAAATTTCGCTATCACTGTTTTCATCATCATCTGATTCTTCAACAATGTTTTCCTCATCTGAAAATAGTAAAAAAATATTTGAATGAATCAATAAGGTTGTTAAGAATTAAATATCAAGCTCAATTACGTAGGACTGCATATTAAATGTTACGGAATAAAATAGTTGTATGTTACCTGAAATGCATTCCTCAGTTTCAGTCGATTGTGCTGTGGCAGTATCAGCAGGTCCTTGTAAAAGTATGTCGTATATAGAAGATGGAACCGTATTCCCCTCAAACCAATTAAAATTGTAACGACTATCAATTAAGTTCCAACCGTTATTTTCAGGTGTAAGAATTGTTGGTTCTTTTAAATTACAATTTCGCCATATATTTGTAACTAGCGGCTCACCCTCGCTTCGCTCGGGTTCGTCGCTAGGATTTAAATAGATATAAATAGTTATTAGCCAGCGTTAATCATATAAATCTTAATTTTTTTTCGTGATTTTTCTGGTGTTTTAATACTTATTAACCTATTCCAGACTAAGAGAAATCCAAAAATTCAAATATCATAAAAATTGTTCCACCCATTCTTGAGTTTTATGTCACGTCAGACGGGAACGCGGTCGAACGGGATAAAAAGTATCCTATGTCCGTCTCCTGGTTCTATACCTCCCACCAATTTTCAGCCAAATCGGTTCAGCCGTTCTTCAGTAATAATATAGTGTAACTAACACGACTTTCTTTTATATATATAAAGACTAGCGGCTCACCCTCGCTTCGTTCGGGTTCGTCGCTAGGTACGTTTTAAATAGATATAAAAAGTTATTAGCCAGCGTAAGCCACATAAATTTTATTTTTTTTTCGTTAATTATTCTGATGTTTTTATACTTACCTATTCCGGACTAAGAGAAATCCAAAAATTAAAATATCATAAAAATTGGAACGCGGTCGAACGGGATAAAAAGTATCCTATGTCCGTCTCTGGGTTCTAAGCTACCACCCCGCCAATTTTCAGCCAAATCGGTTCAGCCGTTCTGGAGTTATAAATAGTGTAACTAACACGACCTTCTTTTATATAATATATAGAGATGTAGGCAGTTCTCAATAATTGTTGATGTAGTTCACGTTGACAGGGTGGTAAATTTGATGAATCATAGCTTACTACTTTTTTCATAAACACTTTAGGATTATTTGTGTTGTACGTAGCAAGGAACTTTTCATAACGTGCATTATTTAATTTTGAACATTTCAAACCATACATTTGGCATACAAATTTCTCTAGTATCGGGAATTTTTTTCTTTCTTCTGTACTATTTCTGCGTTTCCTAATTCTTTGAATGCCTTCTGATATACACTCGATTTCTGCAATATTTGGAATGGTTTTTTTTACCTCTTCTTGAAAAGGACGGACTCACTCGCACTATAGGTATTCACGCAACATCTCTCACTCGCACGCCCTTAGCAGCTGTCCCCTCGCCTGTCAAGGTCTTATGCTGTTCAAAACCGCCTGGCATTGTACATATTTACTCTGAGACGTTTACTTGAAAACATATAAAAATTTTAAGTATACAGGATAAAGTTTATTTTACCTCATCAACTGTGGGTTTTCTAATTGATCTGTCATATACTTCTGCTTATTGTAATCGCCTGTCAATTTTTTTTTAAGATGTACAATAAATAAACTTTATCCTCTTAAATTTTCAAATTTACAGAAACAAGTTTTAAAACTCAATTTACTAAACAGTTCAAAAAATAAAGGGGCTGATGACGTGCAGGGCTGACGCCTGCCAGGTCATGGCTATTGCTCTTAGCATGCCATAAATCGTAAATAGACAAATTTCTAACCTTACAGGGAGACCGTTACTCCCAGGGTTCACTAGCTCTTGGACTATTAAGCTATAACTGAGAAGCCGTATGAAACGGCGTATAACTAGTGTATTAATTTGTTGTTAAAAACTTAAGTGATTACGGGTTTGATGATCATAATATATTTCGTTGCCTCATTGGTCTAGTGGCTTGTACATACGGTTGCCTATGCTAAGGTTCGTGGTTTGAGTCCCGGGTTGGGACAGGTATATTTATTGGGATTTTCTGTCACATGTCGACCCAACGGAGTTTGAGAGTGAAAGGAATAAGGAGTGAACTTAATTAATCTATAAATATAATAAAATTGTAACTGAGTCGAATCTATACATTAAATATTTTTTGGAAAATCTTATTGAAATAGATGTTATCGATACAGAGGCCGAATCTATACTTTTTAAAATTTTTGTCTGTCTGTCTGTCTGTCTGTCTGTTACAGCATCACGAAAAAACTACTGGAGGGATTTCGATGAAATTTGGTATGACGATAGCTGGTTATCTGGGTCAACATATAGGACACTATTTACCGCGGGAAAATGTCCCATTTCTGAGAAAAAATACAAAAACTGCAATGTAAGAGTTTACTAATGTGTAAAACTAAGAATTTGGTTTTCAGTCATCTGCACAAGTCAGGGCGGCAAAATTAGGAGGACGAAAAAAAAAAATCTTCGTGTTATCGAAAATGGTTTTTTTATTTTACAAAAAATGAAAAATAAAATAGATCAACTAGTAGGTACATTTTTCCAAAAATTGATATCATTAGTAATAATTAAAAAAAAACTTTATCCAATTTATGCAAAATTTTGATAATCGGGTGGCATTTTATACTATGCCCAGGGGCGGCGCTAAGGTTAAATCCGGCACTGTATCTTGTCATATAGTCAGGGTGTGTCATAGGTTAATGAATACTATCAACCACAGAAGGGCCCGTCTCGCAACACCCTCTGAAACACGCATCGTTCCAGTTGCTATGCTACATAACTAAACTATGTTAATCAAATCCATAGTTTGTAAACTCGTGACTTTGTGGTTGCATACGTTGGTAAACTTAAATGGTCTGCTAAGATTCTTATTCTAAACCCTAATTTGTATTGATTAAAAAAAATTAAGAGTTATATCTTATCTTACTTATATATAAATGCAAAAGTTTGGATGGATGTTTGTTACTCAATCACGCCAGAACGGCCCAACGGATCTTGAAGAAATTTGGCACAGATATAGATTATAGTCTGGAATAGCACATTGGCTACTTTTTACCCCGGAAATATGTACGGTTCCCGTGGGATAATTTGTTTTTGTTTTTCAATTGGGATGAACCCGAGCGAAGCGAGTATTTTTATATATTACATTTTTTTAAGAAACGAAGTATAACAGAATATTTGGCACCAACTTTTTCAAGAGCTAGACATCTTTTTTATTTTTAACAAGCATGACAAACTACAAATTAAACTAGATTCCATACATAAGAATACATAATTGCTTTTACGCACGGATAATTCGAGTAATGCCCTATGCAATGTAAAGTGTTTAAATACAATAGAAAAATTTATTACAAATAGAAACTATATCGCATGCCAGTGGGCTATTCAATATCACTCGCTAGTATAGCCTCGCCTCGTTCTATTGAATTTTTTCAATTGTACATGATTCTTAACTTTTCGAAGTGAAATAGTATTCGGGTACTATAAAATATTTTTAATAATATATTGTTTCTTACTTCACTTTTAATAGCAATCCAATTTATATTGATATAAATGTTATTAAAAAATATAAAGGTAGGTGGTGTTATTATTATGAGTAATGGTGATGGGTAATGGTAACAACGAAACTTATTTCTTATATTCATATTTTAAAAATACTTAATTATACTTGTTTTAAGGTTCTAAAATCGAAGAGCCTCATCGGAACCCTTTTTGCT